AGTGCGGTTGGCGCAGGATAGAGCAGGGTTTAGGGCTGTTGTGCATAGGGTCGCTATGAGTCGCAAACGACTCGACGGCACATAACAACAACAACATCAAGATTTTCATCTCTTTAATCCTATTAAAACCACATCAAAGAAGCTTTTCTGGAAACGTTATTGAAAATACGGTTCAAAATTTATGAATTACAGTAGTATTTTTAGTAATAAAAATTATAGTAGTTCATTGTAGTATTTTAGTAATAAAATTTAGACTTTATCTTTCAAATATAGAAAATTATTAGAAGTTCTTGTTTATTCATATAAACAAAACCTTAAGCAAGTCAAACATGAAATTTTATAGGCTTTTGAAGTACCATAAAAAGCAAACAATGTTTTTCTGTGATAACCATAACCCTAATACCAGAAGGCTTAAGCAAAAAAATGCATAAAATATTATCAGTGGTGGTTTCTCCTTTGCATTGTTAGATATATTTAATGTTTAAATTAATTCTTCCATGATCACTCATTTCTGTTAATCTAAACTAACAATAGTATTTTCATTTTGTTTTTAAACACACAAGTCTTAATTTTCTCTTACATAAATGTTAATATGTAAGCTTTGTTCCAATCATAGGACTGAAGACTATTTGTTACCATATTGGTAAAATTAATTGTTAATAAATTCTTATTTTCTTTAGGAGCTTTTGAAGAAATACTCAGAGATAAATAATTGTGACGATTGCTTGAATATATTGTCTCTTGACTTGGAAAAGGAGATCAAAGTCCAAAAAGAGCTTTCAATTAGAGTGAAAGCAAAACTCTCACTTCCATATTCACAAACAAAACAAATTCAAAAACTTCTCACCGTAAACCAAAGGTGTTCTGCAGAATTCCATAGAGTCGTGGAGAAACTTAAGGTACCATCTCTTTTAAGTAGTATTCTTTCAGAGGTCCATAAATTTCAGTTATAAAATGAGTTTTCCTTTAATTACAGTCCTGCTTTGGGAGTTAGTATATTTTATCTTACTGTATTAATTACGGGTAATAGAATTCATTGGAAGTGGAAATTTTTCCGTGCACCTAAAACCTGTTCCCATGTAATAACCAGAGATCTCCCTGTGAGTGTGAGCCTGTACTCTGTGCTCAAGAGAGTCATTGAGAATCTTGTGAAATAGGAAGTCAAAAATCTAGAAGTAGAGGTGTGGGAGTTACCAAGAGAAGAAAGTAGGGCATGGAGTACAGCTCTTTCATTCTTCTTCTGTCAGGGATATAGTTGAACAAGAGATCATCTCATCTCACATTCCAAAGGTTTAAAATGTCATCTAAAGGTGATTCAATTTTACTTTTCATTTTTATTTCTTTTTCCTGTTAGTATGTGTTAAACTTTGTTACAAAGATAAAGGAAGAACACCATGAATCCATCAATAAATTTGAAATGGATTATATTAATGAAGTGGAAAAGCAAAATGAGCTAGTAATTAAAATGCAGCAGCTTCAACAAGATTATGACATACCATCCAGTGAATTAAGGGATCACAAATTGAACCAGAATATGGATCTACATATTGAGGTATAATTTATTTTAAATGTATTTAAATAGATTTTATCAAATGCTGTAAAGCCACTTTGATTTTTTAGAAATTCAAAATAAGTTGCAGAGAAAATCCTTTCAAACCTCCACAGACACCTAGAAACTGACCTAACACTCACAGATGGGAATTTATGGAACCACAGAGTAAGTTTCTAAATCCCTTTGAGAGTTTTTACAACTCTAACAGAAATAAAAATTTGCTTATTCCAACAGCTCCCCACAGAGTGCCTTGCTATCTCTCAACAATGTGAAGTTGGCAGCCAAATGCCAGCAACAATTCAAATGGTGCAGTTTTTAATCCTAGATTTATCATTTTCATAAGTTTTAATTTTAACAGAAAATTTAGACATACCTGTCACATACCAATATTGCTGAAAGTTTTTATGAAAGTTGTTATTTTTATGTGCCATCAAGTTGCTTGCAACTCATAGCAACCCTATGTCCAACAGCCCTAAACTCTGGTCTGTCCTGTTCCAATTGCACTGTCTCCGACACACCCACCCCAATTATCCCAGTCACTGAATCAATCTACCTCATAGAGGGTCTTCCCCTACCGCATTGTCCCTCCACCCTCCCAAGTGTGATATCCCTCTCCAAGGACCAGTCCCTCCTTACAACATATCCAAAGTATGTCAGATGGAGCCTCAGAATACTTGCCTCCAAGGAACAGCCCAGTTTAACCCTCTCCAGAATGAATCTGTTTGTTTTCTTAGCAGTCCATGGTACATTCAATACTCTTCTCCAGCACTTCAGCTCAAAGGCATCAATTCTTCTATCCTCCCTAGTCATTGTCCAACTGTCTGATGCCTAAGAAGTGGTTGCAAAGACCGTGGCCTGTATCAGACGCACCTTAGTCTCCAGAGAGACACCATTGCTCTTCAGTACTTTGGAGAGGTCCCTAACAGCAGACTTTCCCATGGCAATACGTCTTTTAATTTTCTGGTTGCTGGTGCCAAGAGTGTTGACTGTGGAGCCAAGCAAACTGAAGCTGTGAACAATCTCAATCTCTTCACCATCCAAAGTAACCATAATAAAATTATCAATAATATTAAAAAGGATGTAATATTTTTCCTTTTTTAATGATATATTTCAATATAATACTTTCCTAATGTTCCCACCCTTTTCCCCTTAAGTCTCCATATACGTTTCACTAGTTTATCCTTCTGTTTTTACAATAATGATCTTATACAGTGTTTGTCCTTATGATATTGAGTTAGTTCACTCAGCATTATGCTCTCCAATCTCTCCCGATTTATGTAATATTTTTCAAAATTATCGCTGCTGAGTGCTGCCCATATAGAGTTGCGCAATTGGATGGGTGGAGGAGAGAAGGTTAAGGAAATGGGAAGGATCCAGCAGAGATCTGAAAAGATTGGGTAAAGATGGTCAAGGTCCAATGGTAATTGATTTTATAAAACATAATGCATGGGAATGATTGTATGAAACACAACATAAATGAAGAATAGTGTGAAACACAATGTATATAAACTTTGTGAGCAAACCAATATAAAATTTTAAAAAAGAAAAATACTTTCCTAAAGCAGCCCTCAGGCCTGGTGTTGTGTTTGGAAGGAACATTAATTTTTGTGTGGTTTTTTTTTTTAATAAAATTTTTGTTTTATACTGGCTTACTTACAAAGTTCGTATACATTGTTTTTTACTCCAGATTTTTCTAAGTGGTGTAGCACTGGTCTGTCAGCTTGCTGTACTGAGATACCTTGGGGTTGCTGTGACACGAATGCTATGCCAAATGTGTGTCAAATGCCATAATGGTTACCCATGGTAAACAGTGTTTGGTAGAGCTCTTAGATTAAGACAGATTTTAAGACAGATTTAGAAACAGGATTGGCATCCACTTTCTGAACAACATGCCTTTGGAAATTCTATGACTATTAGAGAAATTATGATAGTTATAGAACAAAGTCCAGATCTTTTGTTCATAGAGTTGCTATGAGTTGAACTTGACTCAATAACAAAACAATAAAAAACAACTAACAACAAAACCACTTAACAACAACAACAATGTCCAAGTAATATGATTTGATTTTACTTTTTACACAGGAAATTCTCAAAGATTTTTCAGAAAATGACTTCCTCAACATAAAGACTGAATTTCAACAAGTACTAAAGAAGAGGAAAGAAGTAACACAGTTTTTAGAAGAGTGGCTAAATTCTCATTTTGATATAGAAATGCTTAAAAATAATATCCAGAAACAAAATGATGCCATTTGCCAAGTGAATAGTTTCTATAATAACAAAATAATTGTAAGTAGTTACTTTTATTTTTTGGTAATTGATTGGTTTACTTTGTCTACCTTATTTTAAAAGGACTGAGAAGAACTTATTCATTTAAAGTTATCTTTTAAAAATATTATGATCATGTGCGTTCTAAAAAATATGTATTATGTAAAGCATGTTCGTTCTCTCAGGTAGCAAATGTCAGTAAGATGATTAGTATGTTATCAATTTATATTTATATGATATTCTGTTTCTGTCTGTTGAATCTTAACTCCTGTTGACAACCTTCTTTTCCCCTCGTCACTACTTGTGTAAGAATCTAACCTGTTCTCCAGGCAACCTTAGACAAGGTGAGACATCTATCTCAGGGCAGCAGGCAGGAGTTATATAGTAAGACCTGACACCTAGCCAGTGACTTTGGTACATGGAATTTACACTATCAAAAAAGGTGCTTCGACTTTGAGACTTATAAACGTGATTTTATGCATTATTTCTAATCTTCCTTAAGACCAATTGCTTGAGATCACTTTGTTAATGGATTTTATTTTCCAGTGATCAGAAATAAGTAATAATCAGAAGACTGCTTATTATATGTGACATTAGACCCTAGAGAGCTAGAGTAATACTGTAACTTCCAAAATTTATGGTTTGTGTTTTTAAATAGGGCTTTTCTGACACATTAGTATTATTGAGTAATTTCTAGTTTTCCTGTAGTTAGTTAATCCAGATTGTTGGATAGATAGATCCAGCAAAAAAATTAAATGGATTGTTTAGGAGTGGAAAACAAAAGCATTGTGTGGAGAGATGCAAATTAAAACAACTATGAGATATCTCACCCCAGCAACAACAGCAAAGTTTAGAAGGGCAACAAACAACTAATGCTGGCGAGGTTGTGGGGAAGTTGGGGCTCTTATTCACTGCTGGTCGGAATGTAAAATGGTACAGCCACAATGGAAGGTGGCCTGATGCTTTTTCAAAAAGTTGGAAATAGAAATAGCAATTCAACTATTGGGAATATACCCTAAAGAAGCCAGAGCTACTACCCAAATAGATGCATGCACACATATGTTTATTGCAATAGCAAAGATATGGAAGCAACCCAAGTACCTATCAATAAATGAATGGATAGGAAAACTACAGTATGTTCACACAGTGGAATATTAAAGCGCATTGAAAAACAATTCACATTACACAAACATGTGGGAGCCTGGAAGATATTATGCTGAGTGAAATAGTCACAAAAGGACAAATACTGCATAACACTACTGTTACAAAATAGGACTGACATGGGGGGGGGAGAATGGGGAAAGATAAGATAGATAATGAACACTGCATTAGATTAAATGAGGGAAAGAACTGTCTGAAGGGAATATATTATTAGACATTATATGTAAAACAACAATCTGGAACAAGGAGTGCATTGCAAGGAGGGCTGGAGGAGTGGAGAAGAGGAGGTAAGAAAATTTCCAACAATAAAAAAAATGAACTTTTTAAGTTTTAAAAGAAATAATTGCATGGATAAGGTATTTCCTGTGCAATTTAGTGTTTTTCTTATAATACTGAGGGTCCATTGTGATTGGGGAATAAGGACTTTCACTGATGTAGATCAGAATAGACAGTGTAGCTTCTTCCAACACCCTTAGATAGGGATAGTATGCTGTGAAGTCAGTAGTCCAGAGCCAAGGAGAATCTGGACTGCCAGCAAGAACACAATACCTCAAGGTCCAAGATTTATACAGTTATTATAAAGCCACATAGTTATTGGCAAAACCAATAAATAGGGACTGTATTATGAGACCAAAAAGTACATTCCGTAGGAGTTAGAGTATGGGAGAGTATTGATTGACTGTTAATCTCTAACAGAAATACAAGATTTTCAGATTAATTAGGAAGAGCTATTTGGCTCTTTCTCATAATCACTAAAGTTTAGAATAAAAGAGGAAAAGAAGTTACTGTTAACTTCACCAGATGTGATCTGCTAGATGTCAGATAATGTTTTTGTCATTGTTGTTTTTGTTGATTGTCTTTGAGTTGAGCATGACTCATAGCGACGCTATGCCACTCTATAACTATCTACATTTACCAAAGTTCATAGAGTTTCCGGAGGCATGTTATTTAGGAAGTGGATGCCACTTCTGCTTCCAAACCTGTCATAGTATGTTATTGTTGTTATGTGCCATTGAGTCATCTGCCATGATATATATAATGGACTACACAGTTCTTCAGATTTCTCTTCATGTGTTGACCTAGTTCATCTTTCAGATCAATATGAATCTTCTCCACTCACTAGTCTTCTTTCATTCATATCACTGATACCTTCTGAAATTTCAGGAGTTGGTGCAAATGACAAAGAATGTTCTTTTTTATAGAGTTTTTAAAATAATGAATTTCTAAATATACCTTCTTAAAAAATATAAGGTTTTTTTCCTTAAGTTTTTTTAGTATGTAATTAATTCTAGAGCTATAATCAGTGTTTGTAATATCCAAAAGACCATGGTGAATGAGTCAACCGAGTTTGAAGAAAGAAGTGCTGCCATGTCTAAAGAATGGGAACATGACTTGAGATCAGTAAAACAAACAAGTGAAAAGATGTTTCAAAACTACCAAGCTTTGAAGGCCTCTCTGACATCTATTGCTATTATTAATTCTACCGCAAAAGAAGAAAAGAATCCTGCTATTACTTTAAGAACTAAACAACTAACCACAAAGGTATTTATTATAATATGTTCTTAAATTTGCATATTTAGGACAGAATTAAAGATGTATCTTTGTAACATTTTAGAACAGAATTGCCATGGTGAAAGAGTATGAACATACTTTAAGTCTGAAATGAACTTGTGTTTTACTTATTGTTACTGTCATACAAACTCCATAGAAAGGTAGACATAATAGAAGATTGTCCCTTGGAATTAGGAAACTAGATAATCATAGCTTAATTTGATCAATAAATTCATACAAGATAGTTTACTGTCAATTAATATTACAGTCCAAATTAAAATGTAAGCTAAGGATAAGAGTTATTACTTAGACCTGCTATGTTGTAAAAAATATCCAGTAATTAGTCTATTAATTGACTAAACCAATTACTTTGTTAATTACCCTTATTGTAGAATCTGTATAGTTGTGCAAATGTGCTATTTTGTTATTTTATCAAAATCACCTACTGGGAACCATAACAATTTCTAAATTACCATAAATTTTCTCATTTTTCCAAAATAAAGGCTAATAATAAAGCATCAACTACTAGTTTCATAATTAATCATCATTAGAACATAAAAGATCACTGATAAATAGTTCTTTGATTTCTCAATCATTTCAGACTCTAATCAGTTGGGAAAAGTAAAGAGCTTTGCAAAAACCTAAAATGCGAGTGTTTTTATATAAAAATATGGTAAGTTACTACTATCTTAGAATCACCTGAACACTCTGAGTTTGGGAGAACTAACTTCATTAGAATGCTTTTGAATTTTCCCCTATTTATAAACTAGTTAGGGAAAATAAAGAGAAATGTTTCATTCATTACTTGAAGAGTCACTAAACAGGTGTATTTTAAGTAGTGCTAATTTCTAATGTTAAAACCTATTTTATATACCCAGGCCTGTACTGATGGTACAGGATAGAACAAAGTTCAGATCTGTTCTTCATAAGGTCATTATAAGTCATAGTTAACAACACCTAACAGCAATAATACTGAACAACAGATAACATGAACAAAATTTATTATGTAAATTTTGATCTTTTAATCCAGAAATCATTTACTTCTAAATGAAAAAACGTAACCCCACATCTGTAGAGATTACATGAAAAATTTTTCTTTATATCCTTTGTTTAATGTAATCCAAGAAAAATTAACAACAGCCAAGTATGATCACCTTTGTCTCAAACATATGTACTGTTTTTGTTATGTGCTGTTGAGTCAAGCCAACTCATAATGAATCTCCAAGGTTTCCAGGAACGATAAATCACTTAGGAGATTTTCCATCTTTCTCCTGTGGAGCAGTTGGTGGATTCAAAACGTGTGCCTTTGGATTGGCAGTGCAACTTCTTACGATGGTTAGGGCCATCTAAGCCTAACTTGAAAATATATATA